TATGAAGGAGCCCCCCTTCTGGATCAAAGGAAACATGACATGTGGTTTGAATTACATCTTCCATTGACGCCTTGATTAAGGAAAGAATAGAGGGCTTTAAATTCCTGAAGGGGGAAAATAGCTAGACATTGATAAGCATTGTAGAAAAAGGGGCTTGGTAGAATCCCTTAGCAGATTGATGTTGGAGTACCTTTCATTTCGTTTGAAGAGGCGGGTGGAAGGGATTATTAAATTGGTTCCAACAGAGGATGGGGGGGTTGCCTTGAAGCTATGGTTGTAGATTTGTGGGACTATGTCCTTGGCTCACCGCCATGCGACCCCGAGGAATACTTGCTGAGCTTTCGTCCGTCATATCACGGGCATCGTAAGAGCAGGACACCATGTTGCCTTCGTGTTTTTGGTGAATTATATTTAAGCGTGGTATCCTGCTCTGACGATGTCCGTCACATGACGGACGAAAGCTCAACAAGGATTCATCGGGGTCGCCAGGCTGTGTGCCGAGGACATATTCGCACAAATCTACAGCCATAGCTCCAAGGAACCCCACCTACAGCCTCAAGTGGAACCAACTTACGAATCCATTCCACTCGCTTCTTCAAACGAAATGAAAGGTACTCCAACATTGATAAGCATTGACTTATTTATGTGAGCAAAATAATGGGGAAATCTCGCTGAGATTTTCAAGTTACACTTTCAAATATGGGTTACTATTTGCCTCTACCATGTTCATTTCAATGTTAAGCGCTAATTGACTTCAATTTAAAATTTTATCATCTTCATTATTTGATGCAGCATTGATGGTGGCAGTGAATAGAGTCTTGGTTGGATTTTCTCATGGATGATGAAGGGTGTTTTTCTCGGCCCCAAAGGATTTTAAGGACCCGAAGGTCAAATAAAATCGGTGGGGATGGATACAGGGCTTACGGTATTGAAGAAAGTTTTATAAAGTCTCCTGTTACCAAGCCCAGATATAAGTGGTGAATCTTAGGAGTGTCGGTTTCTGTGAGCTGAAATCACCTATCCTGCCTAAAAAAGAATCAGCTTCCTCTGAGGGCTAAAGCCGACAGCAAACAAATTTCCCCAGATTGGCCCAAGTATTCTACTGTAGAAAGTCATATGATTTTTTTATAAAAATATATGACAACACTATTTGTGGTATAATCATAAGGATGAGATGGTCTATTCTCTCATAAGACAATAAATGTCTCAATTGTAGACATTGTTGAAGGTTTAGCTCAAAATAAGGAATACCGACCCAGTCTAAACTAATGAGGCTTGCTCAAAAATAATACAATATTAACCTTAAACTAAATAGGGAGAATACATCTCATATTTATGATCTACTGGTAGTATCGAAGACCTACTTATTAACGAAAAATAAGTAATGTGATCGATTGCTATAGCAAGTACAAGTTTGCCTCATCGACAACCCCATCACAGAATGTGATATGGGAAAGTGCCTGGCCTTCCTTGAGATGCACATATGTCCCGTGATCTAAGGTCACTCGTGGCAATTTGGTGCAGTGTTTGGCGTGTCGAGATTACACGCTGCACTGCCATGGTTCGAGTTCCGCTGGGGCGGGCTGATGAGACAGCAAGTTCGAAACTACAGTCCACTCCTGCCTGGATGGGAATACATTTTTCGGAAAGTAGGGCTATGTAAAATTTAGTATCTTTGTGGAACATTCAACTACCGGTCGCCCTATCACCTTAAACTGAATAGGGTATAAAATTGCGATATTGTGTCTCCCTTGCCAGTAATCAAAGTGCAGTCTAAATTCATGCACACGGCCAGCAAGAATTAAGACCTTATGCATGACTGAGAGTACATCGAGAGATGACTGTGAGACTACGAGAATAACATTGGGATATATGTGCTCAACTCCATTGCAAGTAGCGGGAAGTTGTGTTAGTGTGCCATTCAGTTCGTTTAGTAAAATAGAATGGAGGGAATTCGTAAATTGGCGCACCAGAAACCGAAATAAAATTGTCTTTGAAAAGTGAGTGTAAATTATATATAAGTCATCGGCACATTAGGCTGCAACTTTGAGAAATCACTGCTGAGCTATTTTTCCTTTATATGACAGAAATCTTCAGAGCTATTAAACAAATTCTATGGAAACTCACCAAAACACAAAATCAATGAGGGTGGATGGCTGAAATCCTTCTTCCTTTTTATAGATAATATTGTGATAATATTGAGTATCCCGTGATTTGCTTGGCTACGTAATGCTTACTTTATATGCTGGTAAATTAGTGAAGTTGCTTAAACAAATGAGTTTCAGACTTGTGCTACAAATTGTCTTCTTTGTAGTCCTAAAAATGACAAGGCTCATTGACGATGCTGACTACAATGCCGGCGAAACTTCTGGTAATGTACCAAGTCAACTGTCCGACTCTGGAAAGTAACATACATACTCTGGACTCCGGACAAACTGCTTTCCTCTAGGTTTCCATGACAATATGGCCAAGTTGCGAAAGCTAGGTTAAACAACTCCGCAACCACACTAAAGACCACACCATCTAGGTCTTCATACCTTTGGCCAAACGAGTTTTATCTCGAAACAATGATTTATGTCGCATGACAGACCAAAGCTAAGCACCAATTAATCGGGTCTGCGGAATTGTGCTCAGAACTCGTTGGAACAATCGAGCACTCACAATTAAAAAACAATGTTCCTGCTTCCATTTAAGTCATTTTAGGACTCTTTCTAACTGCCTTTTTATACGAAATGCTATGTTTCGCCTTGCTTCATATCTGCGGAACTGGAAGGACTTCACGTCACTATGTAAGGCAAACAGCTTGTTTCCAGTTGTCTCATACCTAGAAACGTTATGTATCCTTCAAGTGCAGTCGCTTTCAAGAGCCTCTCCTGAAGTAAAAAAGTTCTGATTAAACAAACCAAGACTAGATGGCAACGTTTTGGAAGCATTTATCGGACAAAGAGACTATTTGGATCGCCAAGTTCTACCAGGACCCAGTTTGCAAGTCTGCTATGGCAGAAACAGCTTGTTCCTTATCTATGCATATTAAAAATTCTTTTTGTTCAAAGCTTTTTCACTTTCGGACACATTCAACAAAGATCAGCATCTGAGATGGAGAGAGCCAAGAATCTGAGCTCCGGGTCTAGAAGAAACGATACAAACATATACACTACACATGATATGTGCACATATCGGGTAGTGAGCGCCAAAGTAAGTATATCAGACCCTCAATGATAAAGCAAAAGTGGAAGATCACTTTCATGTAGCCGCATGATAGTGAAGTCGAAACTCATAATATTCATCGTAAATATAGAGACCAAGATGGCGTGGCCTTCTCTTTGATCGCAAACAGGTTTACTTCAAACCATACCATTATTCATGACGAGTAGGAATAGTACTTGAGTCACCAGTCGTAACTACATAACTGAAAACAGTCCTGATGACTTAATAAGATAACTTAACTTGTACGCTTCATCACTTGTACATTTCGTGCCGCAAACTGTGTTCCTGTATTTACAACATAAGGCCATTATTTCCATTATACTAGATCCAGTTTATGCAACAGAGGATCGTTTTCGGCTTCGATGCCTCGAAGCTGTCCCTCATTCATCTTGGTTTAGCTATAGCATCCACAGCGATAACAAACATTTAAAAAAGCATGTTGAAAACGAAACAGCATTACGGACTCTTATCATTTGAGCTGGTGGTTCAGGCTAAATGATTCTGTCCATCGTACTTGTTATGTGTGAAAACCCGAAAAGGTCACACAAATTGTATAGGCTTGCAAATGATGGGCATCTCCAATATGCTCAAATGCAGCCAACGATTGCAACTTGTAGACTTTAAATAGGCCATATAAAAACATGTCAAGCAGACTATTTTTCAATTTACCTGTATGTGTTCGTGTGTGCCTCTTCAGGTCGAAGGTGTCATTGAACCCCTTGAAGCAAAATTTGCAGAGGTATCGTCGCATTTGACTGTGACACTTGATGTGCCGGTTGAGAAGACGTAGTAGGCTAAACTTCTTTCCACAAGCCTTGCACACAAACTCGCTGGGGCCGAACTGGAGGCCTATAGCAAAGGAATTTGGTTCATATGAAAAAATCAAATTGTTGTTACCCACCCAACACTTTTCATATTTAATAAATGGGATGGTTGACAAATAATTAGACAACTTTTCCTAAAGCTTAAAGAGGCAAGTATTTAGTATGCTGGGCAGGCTCCAGTTCTTCCCGAAGGTAACATCCTTAGGAAGGAGTGATATCATGAGTGAAAATTCACATAAAAACTAAATGACGGTACTCAATTAGCAAGACACATCTTTGCAAACACTCTGGCCTACATAATCTGATTCGATTTGCGTCAACCTCTCTTTTATAACGTGTGCAGCATAACTTGGAATTACCATTGGTACAGCAGTAATTTTATGAAAAGCATTTTTTATGGAATTTAACATTTCTATTAGAAGTTTCCGGGAATCTTTGACAACATCGAAAATGGCATCATTAATGATGATAAATGCATTACTTATGCCAAATATAAAGTCTTAAATATGCTGAAATAGACCCTCTGATTTGATCAGAACTTCATTATTGAGGAACTCCTTAATCCTATGTTTTTTTTCGTTCGCAGCGAAATATTATAACAAGGCTCCACATGTCGAATATCCTTCTAATAAAAAGAGGGCTAAAACAATTTACAAAACTGTAGGCTGGAAGTACATAAATGGTCAAATGATGTCGTAGGCACCGATAATGGGCTTGCCAGCGATAAATTAAAAGGAAGGTTGTGCTGTGCATTTCAAAATCTAGCCTGGATCTCAGCATCATCAACAGAGTACTTGCTGGTTCAGAGACAAACAGTGCCCATATGCATTGGGCTGTAGAACAAGCATGAATTCCAGAGCAAAATAGGCTATAGGTTGGATCGCTAAATGGGTGACAATGCTTCGTTTGTGAACGAGACAAATCCGCTGCCTTCAGTGATTTCTAAGCACACCCATACTGCCTCAAAGAAGCGGCCTGGATTCACCCTTTCGCAAGGATAAGCTTCGAAGAAGCCAAAAACGCCATCATAGGGCACTCCTTAAACAATGAAAAGTGAAGAGATAAGCAGATAAATAGTCTTTTCAAATAATAAGCAACATCAAGATAATACATGACACCGACGATTTGGTGGGTCCACAGCATTTTGGAAGAATCCATTTCCACGTCATGGCTATAAAAGGCACCTCAACAACTGAGCTCTGTCTGCACTGAGTAATGGGATGTATTCACCCAATTTCGTTTAAGGTGATGAAGGACTGGTAGAAGAATTTTCCCACAATGACATGAATAGAGCTGACCTTTCCACCGAATTTCACATAGCCTTGCTTCCCCAGAAGTTGTTCTCATCCAAGCAGAAGTGGATTGCAGTTTCGACCTCGTATCGGTCTTATTAACACCCCAAGCGGGAGTCGAACCGTGACAGGGCAGAATGGGAGCTCGACATGTAAACCACTCGTTCACATTGCCACGAGTGCCTTTGGGTCACAGGGCAAATGTAAATTGCAAGGAAGGCCAGGCCTTTTGTCATATCGTGTTCTTTGGTGGAATTGTCGATGAAGCAAATTTATATTTGCTATAACAATCAACTACGTTACTTCCTTTTTCGCATTTAAGTATTGTTTCGAGACTATCAGTAAATCCGTAATATGAGATGTATTCACCCAATTTCGTTTAAGCTGATGAACGACTGGTAGTAGAATTTTCCTACAATGATATAAGCAGAGCTGACGTTTTCATTGAATTTCACATATCTCTGTTTTCCCAAAAGTTGTCCTCATCCAAGGTGGACTGTATTTTCGACCTCGCATCGGTAGTCTCGAAACAATACTTAAATGCGAAAAATGAGTAATGGGTTTGATGCTTAAGCAGTGGAAGCAATCTGACCAAATACATTTGGCGCTAATCGCTAATCATATCGGCATCTACGACGCAAGCATCTGCTTTTAGTCAAGGTTTGGTGTTTTCTTGATCTTGTTGCCTTGACCCCTGGCTCAGGTTCCAAGACAGCTAAACAAGGCAAAAATGAACAGCATCGTCATTTATGAGTGCACATTGAAACAGGACACTGCGCTTTAAGCACGCCAGCTGACACCTTAAGACCGGATCTACCAGGTCATTTTGGTTTATCAACCTCTTCCATTGGCGCCCACCGGAGAAAAGCACACATTTACAAGTATAGTGAAGTGAACGCGCCAGGTAGAAGAGTCAAATAGTACAAGATTAACTGCGTTGCCTTTAAGACCTGTTGTCCTTTCACAAGTGCGCGTCTCTTTACGAAGCTTCCAATACGACATGAGATAAGGTGGGCACTAACCAATTGGCTTAGTACCGTTTTTCGTGCTAATGAGTATCAGCTACAGCAAATCCTGCAACAAGTCCAACAGGAAGTAGGCAAATTTTTATTCAAGATTCGTCTATTCATTTGCTTCTGTTATTCCAAGTAGAGCATATAATATGGATACAAAACAGAAAACGAACAGATTTACTCGGAACTTAAATCAGTCT